GACAATCATGACCCAGCGGATCCCCACATGGACCCCCGTGCGTCCACACCCGCTCGCCAGAGATCCCTGCCCGCCCGGCTGCCCGGGGCTGCGCGTCCTGCCTTCTCGAATCCCCTTTGCTGACCCAAAGTCCGTCCTGCCCAGCCTGCTGCCGAGGCTGGCGCCTACCGCACCGGCCTGCGCCTGTACAACAGCCTGACCAAGAACCGCGATGAATTCATCCCGGTCAACGGCAAGCAGGTTCTCTGGTACATTTGCGGTCCGACCGTCTATGATGCGGCCCATCTCGGCCACGCCCGGTGCGTACTTTTCTCTTGCGAGCACGCGCGCGCGCGCGCGCGCTCTTTCTCTCTCTCTCTCCCCCTCCCGCCGCACGTCCAGCCCCTGCCTGTTTCCCGCCGGCTTGTGCCCGTGTCTGTACTCACCGACTCGCAGCGCCTATATGACCTTCGACATTGTGCGCCGCGTCATGGAGGACTACTTCGGCTATGACATCACCTACCAGATGAACATCACCGACATTGATGACAAGGTGCGTCGGCCGCTGGCCGCATGATGGCCGCTATGTACCGGGACCCCATCGCCTGACCATCCTTCTCCCCCCCCCCCCCCCCCCCCCCCCACCCCCCTCCCCCCCCCCCCCCTTCCGGCCTCAGATCATCTTCCGCGCCCGCCAGAACCACCTGGTGGCCAACTTCCTCGAGCAGTTCACCGGCCTCACCGAGGCCGGGCCGCTGACCCCCAGCAAGAAGGCCCAGGTGTTCGCCCTGTTCAAGGAGCTGCTGCTGGCCCTGCGTTTCTTCCTGGTGGCCAACGTGCCGGGCTTCGCCGCGGCGCCGGCCCAGCTGCCGGAGACCTTCGACGTGATCGAGGCTCTGGCGGTGGAGGGCGCCCTGGCCAGCGTCCGGCTGCCGGCCGGCGCCGCCGTGTCGCGCAAGCTTGACAAGATCAAGATGCCGAAGGAGCTGAAGGGCATCGACGCGGCGGCCGACCCGTCGGGCGCCCTGCTGGCGCAGTATGTGGAGCTCATCATCCAGCTGGCCCAGGTGCAGAAGTGGCTGGAGAAGACCCGCAATGCCATCAAGGACCCGGAGAAGGCCCTGGCCTTCAACACCCCCCTGCAGATGCTGGTCTCCATCGAGGCCATGCACAACTATGCGCTGCTGCTCCTCTCTGAGCCGGAGCTGTCGCAGGCCAACCCGGTCCTGGTGGATGTGGCCCTGAAGCGCGCTCGCGATGTTCTCGGCTACTACCTGGATGACGTGAAGGTGCGCATGTGTGTGTGTGTGTGTGCATTTATGCATATTGTTTGTCTCGCCGTTCAAAAGCTGCACACTGTGGGAGACCCATGGCGCATCATGTGCCGCGTATTGCGATGCCTGTCTTTCTTACCACGGCACATTCCCCTCTCCCCTCCCTCCCCCTCCTCCCCTCCCCCCTCCTCCTCCCCCACAGGAGGCCCCCTGCGGCGCGTCGCACGAGATCTTCAACGAGCTGTCCCGCCACTGGGAGGCCAAGTTCTTCGCGGACCTCGACGCGCTGGACATCCGCCGGCCGACCTTCGTCACCCGTGTCAGCGACTATGTTCCCCCGATCATGGACTACATCCGGGTGCTGATGGAGAAGAAGTTCGCCTACGCCCTGGCCGACGGCAGCATCTACTTCGACACGCAGAACTTCATGGCCGACGGCAACTTCTACGCCAAGCTGGAGCCCAATGCCGCCAATGTGTCGGACCCGCAGCCGGCCTCCGACTCGCCCAATGTCACGGAGAAGAAGTGCCCGGCGGACTTCGTCCTGTGGAAGGCCTCCAAGCCGCGCGAGCCCACCTGGGAGGGCACCAGCGGCGATTACACCTTCACCCCCGGTCGCCCGGGCTGGCACATCGAGTGCACGGTCATGGCTGGCGAAGTTCTCGGTGGGGTGCTGGACATCCACTCCGGCGGCATTGATCTGGCCTTCCCGCACCATGACAATGAGCTGGCCCAGTCCGAGGTTCGTGCCGTCCGATGGTCCCCGCCCCCGCCCCTTGCCCTTTGCTGTCGCTCGCTGCCTCCTCCTCCGACTGACCATGGGCATGTCCGCTCCATTGCCTGGAACATGCGACCATCCCGAAACGCCATGCCCGCCATCACACCGGACAGGCCTACTTCGGCAACAAGCAGTGGGTCAACTACTTCCTGCATGCCGGGCACCTGCACATCGACGGCCTGAAGATGAGCAAGTCCCTGAAGAACTTCACCTCCATCGCCGACTCGCTGGAGCTCTACAGCGTCCGGCAAATCCGCCTGCTCTTCCTGCTGTACAACTGGCGCCGGTCGCTGGACTTCGGCAAGAACTCCTTCACCCAGGTGCTCGTGTATGAGAGCCTCTTCGGGAACTTCTTCGCCTCGGTCTACAGCACCAGCATGCGTCTGGGCCTCGGTGCCCGGGCTCTGGCCATCACCCGGCCCCAGCGCCCGAATGGCGATCTGCCGGACCTGGTGGCTCGCCTGCGCGAAACCCAGGCCGCCGTGCATGAGGCCCTGTGCGATTCGATCGACACCCCGACCGTGGTCAAGCATCTGGCCGAGCTGGTTCGCGCCTGCAACCTCCACCTGGCCGTGCGCGATGACGATGCCAATCTGCCCATCCACCAGATTGTCCAGGCTGCCTGCTACATCACCTCCATCTTCCGCGTGTTCGGCCTCGTGAGCAAGGACGTGCCGCATGATGGCTTCGGCTTCAGCCCCGTCCCGGAGGCCATTGTCGACGTGCGTCCGGGCAAGCCCCTTTCCACATGTGCCCACCTGCCGGGAGGGTGTCCTCCCGTCCGGTCTCCATCCATGCGGTCGGTGGCTCACATCCTTTTGCGTTTTGTGTTTGTCTCCTTTTTTTCCCCGGTACCGTGGGCCTCGCTGCCTCGCTGCCTCGCCGCCTCGCCGCCTCGCCGCTCGTCCCCTTCCCTTGCTGCAACGCCAGCCCGTCACCCTGCCCCTGCTGTCGGAGTTCCGCGATGGCATCCGCAACCTCGGCCTCAGCGCCCTGCGCAGCTCGATGCCCGTGTCGGAGGTATGTCCCTGGAACGGTCGCGCCATTTGCCTGCTCCCCCCTCTGGTGTGACCTTCCTCTTCGCCGTTTGTTCGCCCGGCCGCCCGCTCTTCGGCCTGCGCGCACCCGCGCACCCGCGCACCCGCGCACCCGCGCACCCGCGCACCCGCGCACCCGCGCACCCGCGCACCCGCACTCACGCCTACACCCACTGCCACTGCCATTGCCACTCCTCCCCCGC